CGCTTACATAACGGTAATTCTCCAGCGTGGAATATTCTTATTTCACGTAGTTTTTCCTGTTTACTCGTGCGAATATTTTTTTGCTGAAATTAATGTTAAACAGATTATGAATGTTCCAAATATATATGTCAGATATGTCTCTGTTCGGTTAAATAATGTTAGAGATTATGAAGTATTGTTCCAAAATAATTTATTTTAAGATATATGTCTGTTGGGTTTTTAGTGAATGATTCAATACTAAGGCCACATTTTATCATGAATCCGATGTAAATATGGCGATTGGCGTCACTTGTGTTATATTACAACAATAATATCAGTTCCATTGACAACGCGGTTTTCCTGTTGAACGCCTCGTTTATAGAATAAGTAAAGCCATTGTTATCTGAACGAAGATACCGCCGTCTGTCACGCGATTCTTTCAGAAACCAGTTTGCCCCGTTCCGTCGATTTTGGCGCGGCGAGTTATTTTTTTTTTGCGCTTATTGTTTCTCAAGAGTACCAATACTACGAATGACACCATTATTCGACTGTTTAAATTCCCCGAAGTTTTCACGGTTCCGAATGAATTAAGCATTCTGCGGGAGTTCGATGAATGCAGGTGGCACAGCATCATGTTTCGTAGCGGTCTGTGGCCTTATGTTCAGCAGTAGACTTGGACAGGTCGAATTGACTATGAATGTTGTTTCATAACATTTTTTAACATACGTTTTTGTTGCTAGTACGAATTAACTCATAAATTCAACTACGCATCAACTTGACCTCATTACCACCTGTCTATCTGCAATGTTGAAACTTTTGCCCATCCGATTAGTAACGGCTGATTTATATTTTATTTATAACACGGGACATTGACCTGAGGTTTTTCAAGACGTCTGTATCATATAGCTTTTCGATAAGTAGGTATGCAAAAAGTAATAAAGTCTTAACCATAATAAAATTGTAGCGTTTGTCTGCCTGTTGTGTTATGGAGATATACACGACGCTTTCACTGTAAACGACCCTTATAATAACTTCTATATGAATTTAAGATTCTCGAATAGACTTGTTTCCCGAAACGGCACAAGAATTTTAAATGAAAATGTTACATTTTCACGCCTTTGGTTCAGAAGATTTGAATAAACTTGTCTGTAATGAATATATTGAAGTTTTAATATTCTTTGTCCTTTTTCTGTTTTAAATTCCATTTCTAAATCAACGGGTAATCGATACAAAGACGCGGGCACGTCCTAGTAACTAATATCATATATATCAATACGTGTATCTAGTTAGTAACTAATGTATGATGTCGCGGATTTGAATTTAAGCGGCGAGTAATAATAAATAAATTTTAGTTATTAGAATGGCTTATCCGTAATTACTACTATTGTAATGCGAAATTATTGCCCCTTGTGGCGTTTTTAATTAAATAAGCATTATGTTGAATTTTTAACAAAGCGCGAGAAGGCAGGCCAATCTCAGTCAGCTCAGTCTATCTCTATGTACAGGGAGATTTTTTGAGAAGTGCCCAAATTTACACAGGAGGTTCGGACTCGGTAGTATAATCGTTTATTGAAATAAAAAACAAAGTTTTTTTTTTCCAAAAAAAAAATGCCATTCTATTCCCTAAAAAAACAGAACGTGTTGACAATGCGGTAGTCATTCATAAATACCAAAATTTTACTTTGCACGAACTTGTGTGCATGTTAGTTGAATGATCGCGCGTAAAATAAATGAGTTGCGTATAAATCACGCACTTTTTGAGATAAGTTCAAATGAATGTAATTAATTACTTACGAATGAGTTTAAATAAGTATCTTTTTTTATATAACTTTATTTATGTCTAGAATTTAATAAAAAAATGGATACACTTAGGAAAGCCACCCTGTATATTATAAATTATGAGTTGTATACGGTTTCTTCCTTGATATTTACTGATTTATATAGATTTTACAACACAATTAAATAGCGTTGTCTAAGAGTTGTTTTTCCACTTTAAGAAACTTTTTTTTATTAACATTATTAACAAGTCTATTGAAGTCATAATTCATTTTCAAGACTATAACTTTAGTTTTATTATAAATACAGGTAATAAAATGCCTATTTTTCTTTTAAATTACGGTCGGTGGAATATTTTAAATACCTGTAATAATAATACATGATGATTACTCAGTGCTCCAGAAATGAGCGGAAATGAAGTGCTTAATAAATTGAGGTTAAAACTTTTTCTTTCATGCTCCCAAATTTATTTGTAAATAAATGGTTTTTCAAAATATCTGTTTTGTCCTACCAAACGTGGTTGAATCGATAGCTGTGACAATATGACGCTAGGTCAGTCATATTCTTATTTAAATCGCTTTGTTTAACGAATTAATGATGATCCATGCCATTTGATGCGTCGCTTGGGTAGTCCCCTGGAATATTCTTCGATGTTCATTCTTGGCTTGTCTGTTCGATTCCCACTCAGAGCAGTTGTTCTTGATCAGGATGCTTGCCATTGCATATATTGAGCATACAACATGCAAAACCTAGACGAGTCATCATAAAGCTTAACGTTTTAATATTAAACAAAAATACGTTGGTCTTCTAGGATTCATATTGCGGAGATGTCGTTGTTGTATGAATCAGGGGCGTTTCGTCATGATATGTTTTTATAAATAGTGATCGCGTTGCGCGAATTGTACCAAAAGATATGCCCACGCGTAACGCCCAAACTGTATTGTTTTAAATAAACATCAGTCACCTCAATGCGATGAGTAGGATACATATACAAATACGTGTCTCGTGCGATACAATATACATAACTTATCGTGTAAATGGGTCATATAATTTATGCTATTTCATATTATAATATACATACATATACTCATATGTCATATATGTATATTAGAATGACTTTTTATTTTAGTAGGAGGGGCGAATTGCGCATTTGCACCTGTTTTCAACTGTGGTAGGGCCAGGCAATAGTCTACGCTGTTGCGCATATGGGCGGGTCCGTCCGGGTAAGTAGGTACCACGACCTCACAAAAGACCGGCGTGAAGTGGAAGTTTATGCTTCTACGTTTCATTTAGTGATTGAGATAGCTGGGGCCCACTTTATCAAAACGCGCATCCCATTGACAATCAACACATGTAGGGTTGTAAATGTCAATGGACGGCGGTTGTCACTTAATATCAGGTGAACCGCCAGCTCGTTTGCCACTTTTTCACATAAAAAAACATAGGCAGTCTCATGGGAATTGCCGACAGAAGTGAAAACATACAAATACAAAAAAACAAACAAATTAAAATTGTATTATTATATTTAATTCTACAAATTTGCACTCCGAACGATAATAACAGTATTTATATCATATCCATAACTACAACTAATATGTTTTTGCGTATACCTTTTTTAAAAATAGCTCATGGCAAGCTTTCGGTGACGATGACGCGTGTTCCAAAATGTTTGTTCACCCAAATATTGTTCAACGCGCCTAAAGAAGTTTTCACTCCAAAAATAGTCTAATTTTATTCCTGAAACAATGTGCCAAGCGAAACGAACCTTCATGAAGCACAATCATCAAGTTTGCGAAAGTAGGTGGATTGGAATTGTTCAATGTTCCCGATATTACGTTTTAATTATCGAACGAATTAATAAATGATTGAGGTAGAATTGATAATATTCGATGAGGCTAAAAAATGTCAAGATTCGCTTTTAATCCGTCGCAACTTGTTGAGTGAAAGCCGCAAACGGGCTCAGGCCCTTAGTTGGTTATCTCCCGTCATCGTTCTCTTACTCGGTTCGTTTAATTACGGCCTGCGATGAGAGTACTCACCTCCAATAATTGATTAACATGTACTACTTTGTTATGAAGTCGCGTATCGCGGTTGCTACTTCGTTGTGACCGCAACACATATTTTAACATTATCGCGGTTATATTTATTTCTATGTATAAAAAAAAAACCGGCCAAGTGCGAGTAGGGTTTGCTCCACTTAAATATTTTTTATTCTGTTTATTAAAGTATTGGTATTAGTATTTGTTGTTATAGCAGCAACATTAATACATCATCTGTGAAAATTTTAACTGCCTAACTATCAGGGTTCATGAGATATAGCCTGTTAACAGACGGATAGATAGACAGATAGCGGAGTCAAAGTAATAGGGTAAAACCTTTTGCGTACGGAACCCTCAAAACCAGGTTCACGAAGATAACAATATGTAAACGAGCAGGTAGGTGGTTAGTCTGATAGCGTTTATTGCTGTGGACGTAACATCCCAATTAGGCGGCAGATGATTTGTTAACCTTTGAGAGCTTGAGCTGAAGTTACCTCAATTATCACGTAAAAGCGCAAGCTTTTACTTTCTAAAATTATGTTACAACTTGATAATTAAACAATACTTGTTTTAGAAATTAAGTGTTGAATCAAATGCCCAAAGATATGGCAACTAAGTGATAACATACACGGAATATACTGTACCTATAGACGCTAAGGGGATAGGCTATAACACATGCAATTCCACATTTAACGCTAATAGCTAATTGTGACTAAGTGTGTTTACATAACTATTCTATGACGTTATTTGAACTTTGCGTATAAAACAATGGACCCATGCTCCGACATTCCCATACTCTGTGGGGTGAAACAACAATGGAACAAAGGCTTTCGATGCCCCAGTCGTAACGCGTCCTTACTTCACCTCGTGTCCGCAAGTGAAACATCATTGTTTGCGATTTTGTCACCAAGCCGACTTCGGTGCTCGTGTTACTCGCGTATTCTTCCACGCGATAGGGCCTCGTGTTGCATTCGCCTGATCCGATTACACACATTTGTTTTCGTTCCGTTTCAGGTTATAACCGCAGCCTCAACGCCTACCTCCAGCCTTAGCCTGTATTCGTCACTGCCAACTATTCCGCCCTGCGCGCCTGATGTCGCCATGCTAAAGAAGTTCCATTGTAGCGTTAGGAGAAACAAGAGCGTCTGTAGAAAAATCAACACCTGGTGGCGTACGTGACACCGTCCAAACAAAACAGCGAACACAATGAGCCAATCGCCTGATGAGGGCCGTGCGGCCAGGATACAGAGATATAAAGAAGAGAGACGAAAGCAGTTGATGGCTAGAACAGCGACGCTATTTTCTGCTAATGTTACCGATAGGTGAGCATCTCAGTTCCCGATAAGTCGCTTATGGCCGTTTTCACCATCGATTATTTTATGGGACACCTAAACAAATTTAATTGCTAATTCTGTTTTCACCACCGCTTAAGTGTCACCTAAAGTCTTAAAGTTAGGGCTCGATGGTGAAAACCAGCCATTAATATTTCCTTTTTTTTTCCGGAAATTATTAATGCGTTTCCAATATATTGCTGATAATTTTGAATAGCCATGAATTAGAATTTTGGAATAAATTGACAAGTAAGAATTTCCTAGTGGTACAAGCAATAAGTAGATTGTGAGTAAGTATGACTTTATGGCCAACTCAGCTTCTTATTATTAGTTATAATAGTTAATAATAATTCCTAGTTAACAATAATTCCAAAATTCACGACTTTAAAAACTTGGACTTTAGATACAGCGTGTCGTTACCACCGCGACAATAAATGAACACACATATAGAGGATAACTTTTTAAAATTGTATTAAACATTTACATTCTTCAAACATCAATATTTACCGAGTCATCAAATTTTACAAAACAAACAATTTTAGAACACCCCTACGTATAAAAGTATAACGTAAAGTTTATTTGTAAAGGTCACAAAGCATATGAATGGGTTGAATGAATTTAAAAGAGACAAAACATACTGTTAGAAGGAGAGGCTTGTAATGCGACGCTGTGGCGCGAGTTTTATAGGATGTTACAAATTTTGTTTCTTTTTTACTTAATTAGGTTGTTTGAAAAATATTTTTTTTTAATTATGGATTTTGTTTAAAGTTAATATTTTTTTATAATTATTGGCAAGTAGCGTTAGACGTGTGTTCATTTATTGTCGCGATGGTAAAGACACGCTGTATAAAGGAGTTTTTTAAATGTTGAGAAACCATTTTTTGATTTTTTAAGCCAAAATGCTAATTTTTTTTCTTTGACTTCGACCTGTTTTATGTACCTCAATGTTTTATTTCAAGAACCGTTTGATTTGAAGCTTAATTTAGACATTTACGAGTCGTTATTAATATCTACACTAATGATAACATATACATCATATATTTGTGGGAACATTAAATAATATTAGATTTCTCTTCATTACAGGCGGGTTAAGAAAGCAGCTAATCGAACGCCATCAGAAGACCCTGCCAATCATGTCAAGTCTTCTTCTGAATTAAATCTTAATACTGCTTCAACGTCTGTTCCTATTAGAACAACGAGAACGTCTAGATTAAGAGCTGCTGCGTCAAATCATGCTGAATCTACTACGCCTCCTAAAAAAACCAGCAATAGAAGCTCTTCAGTGCACTCATTATTAGAAGACGACAAAACCAAGATTCCTAAAAATTCTAAATTAATTGATAGAGATAAAGTTCGTACTCATATAAGAAAGCAGAGCAATGAAAAGGAGAATTTAAAAAGCATTTCGACAACATGCATTTCAAACAAAGAAATTGGTGCTATTAGAACGAAACTTAAACATTCCAGTAATAAAAATATTTTAGCGAAAGACAAAAGTAATTTTATAGTCACTAGTCCTAAAGAAAATATTGACGAAAAGAACATTTCAAATATTGACGAAGAAAAGAAATGTTTGACTGATGATACAAAACTAGTTATTATAAAAGACGAAGAAAAAAATGACAACGTGGACGAAATTTTCAATAACATACTAGGTGATAAAAGTCTCTCAAACAGTATGGAGAAAGAAACTTTTGAGAACTTATTTAACGATATTGTAGTTGGGAACAACATTAAAGATAATAATATTGAAATAAGGATCAATAATGAAGTTTTAGATGAAAATATATCGCAACAACAAAGAGAGCTCAAAAATAATCAAAGAAACTCTTACATTCCCGTTATAAAAGACGCCAAGGCTAGCAATAAAAATGATAATAGTAACGTGAAACTAGAAGCTAGATATGTTGTGCCAAAAATGAAGGGTGCGGAAGTCGGTGGTTTGTTGGGGGCAGTGTGTGTGCGCAAAGTTGAAAGGTTCAGTGAATTGCTCAGTAATTTATGTTCTCCTTGCGAAGCGGATCTCTTGTTTGAAGATATCTTGGTTGAAAATGGCATCAACGGCGATTGTACTCCGGTGAGTATCAGAGAGTGTTGGCACTCGGAATAATGATGTCGAACTTTTGAAATTGTGTTTTTGCGAATTTCTATTATTTTATTCCTATCATCCGTAAATTATTTAACGTCTTGATTATTTTATAACATAGAGACGCCACTTTACTTATTAAGTGAAACTAATTTTATTTAAATTCGCCATACTTTGCATAAGCAGAACATTTGAACCTCTTAGTTAGAAATGTTTGACTGATGTTTGACTGTATTTACATCACATTCACACATTCTTAATTGAAGAGCATATTTCTCTAATTTTATTAATTGAATTAATTAATTCGATGATCTCCGAAAAGGGCCACCAAACACGCAAATGGTTCCTTGGTCTTAGTTAAACTTAAATTAACTAAACTTTTGTTTCAAACTCAAGCAAAATTTATCTTTTTAATTTTTCCACTAAACTTGTGGCGGCTTCCGCAGCTTGCACGTTGGTCTGGATTATGCCTCGAAAAGTATGCTAATGCCGTGTAACTTGTTTCAACCTCTCGACGTCCCTAATGACAGTTAACTACAAAGTTTGTATTTTATGGTTCATCGCAATGACAATGAGATACAACTTATAACAGTAAGGTGTATTATAATGATATTGTATAAGGTAAAGTATAAAGTAACAGTCCCACTGCATAGGGCATAGGCTCCCTTTGTACAGATGATATTGGATTGTATGACACAGTCTACCATGCATATTGCACCCCAACCGCGGATTGGCTGCCTTGATAATTATATTTTCGAAATATTTTAATTTCGGATATGTGCAGGTTTCATCACGATGTTTTCCTTCACCGCGTGCATCATATATTACTAAGCACGATATGATGTCATAGTATATGCTTTTATTTTTTAATATTCATCACGAGGCGATGCCGGCCTTCGTTGCATTATAACTTGCAAACGGATTAAATTCTCTACATGTATTGAAATGTTTGAACATTTAAAGAAATGCCACGTTTTAAGTGAAAACTGCTATTTAAATACAATGTTTAATTATATATTACTTTAATATATTATGTTTTAAAGTTTCATCTTGAACGCAGAAACAAGCAAAAATAAGTATAAAACTAAAATTAATATTAATACTGAAATTTTGCGAGCACGGGTGACATCTCTCGCTACATTTGTATATCGTTAAACGTTCGTTGTAAGGTGTTTCATACTATAAACACTAGATGGCGCCAAGAATTGTTAAGAATGCAATATGATAGTGCAAGATGATAAGTGACCCTATTACATTCGCGTGATTAAAGTAATTTAGATTACTTCTTTAACCTGTAGTTTCACTGTCTTTCAATGCCGCTTCATGAAGTCGCAATGAAGTGTTCCGTCTCAAGAATTCGTTTACAAAATAACTGTCGCAACAATTCACACACCTCAGTTCCGGTTCCGACAGTCAACTGCCGCTTTCGGAATGTGCTTTGATTTCGTTCCCTCGACTCCGACCATGGCAATAGTTTTTTTGGTTCAATGCACCGCTGTGCGACATTTAATGTGCCAGTATTTTCAATATTCAAAAGGGCTTTGCCTTCACATTTTAAAAAGGTCAACATAAAATATTGGACCTGTCCTTCCTACGTCAATCAATCTCTGCTTAGGGTCGTTACGGCCTGCTAAGTTTCTCAGTTAACTTTTTATACATTCCTTTTTTTAAATGTACCTCCAATCTTTCGATTTCAAGGAAAATAAGATAATCCCTAAAACTTCGAACGTTGTCTAGATTTTGGTTGGCAGATTTTGCTATGATCAGACAATAAAAGTATTAAAATAGCCGACTCTAGATTCGTTCTCCATTACTTAATGACTCAGTCTATTAGGTGGAATTTGTAGTGTTTATAACAAAAAAACATTTATTTATATTTCAAAGGTTTTTGGGGACCTTCCTAAGCAGAAATTGCGTTTGATGGAATTTTAAACAAAAGTTTGAAGTAGCTTAAGTGCTTTCAGTCTTACAAATACCAACTTCCAAGTTGTCTTGCTAATGCGGACTTTTAACTTCGCAATGTAATTGTAAAGTTTCCTTTCTTAGCAGTCATACTATTGAGCCGACGATTGTTTTTATGTAAAATATGTCTTCGAATATAACATAATATGTATTTTTAATATACTTTTTTCGTGTACACATACCTCTACATCCTACACATAATGTGTAAATTCAGACAGACAAACAGCCAATTCCGAAACAAATATCTGTGACACGCAAATACTTGTTCTGTGTGGAAATTGAACCCACGACTTAGACGAGATCGTTACTCTAATAACTATACAATCTGGTATAGTTATTGTTACTAAAACCAGTTCGAAGATTTAAAGACAAAAGTTTGACTAGTTGAAGTAGTGACGCTCACGGTGGTTCTCCACTATTCGTTCAAACTAGACCTATATAAATGATATTATTTCGTGATTACGTTATTTTACCTGTATTTACATCACATTCACACATTTTTAATTGAAGAGCATATTTCTCTAATTTTATTAATTGAATTAATTAATTCGATGATCTCCGAAAAGGGCCACCAAACACGCAAATGGTGTATTGCCCAATAATCGTATTTTAATCGTGTCTACTGCTTCCTAAGTTATTGAACAGAATATTTACTCACATTGATACGAGAATTTTATAATTCCATAAAAGCGTCAATTACTCGGTACGGTGACTTTGGTGGCTGAACGCTATAACATTGTATACTTGAGTACTACAAAACGCCAAATCAAAAGTTCGCCTGTAAGCCAAACCAACAACGTAAACTCAAGGTAACACCCACGTTCCATGTTCAATTACCACCCCGTTGAGCGATGCAGCCAACGGTCATCAGGGTTCAGTATGGACCGTGGTAATTCCTCCGCCGTAGGTGACAATTGCTCCTCTTAAAGATAATACACGCATGAGGACATGTGCGGCCCTATCCAAAGAGGAGGGGTATATCAAGCTCGTGGAATTTTGTCATCCAAAAACATTTACGAATTGCTATGCAGTCATTAAAAAAATAAAGGTGAAATGTTTTTTAAATGTTCATTTGCAGCGTGACCACCACATATCCCGCAAAAGGCAACACTGTTCACTTCAATCAAAGTATGAGGTCGTTCAGAAATCAATATGTGCTTGAGCGCTGAATAAAATGTCAATTTGATATCAGTTACGTATTGTCATTCTTTTGGTATGTATTAGGGAACTGTGGTGGTGCCGCGAATGGGCATCTCAATGGGTAGCTCACTCAGGGTAAGTACCACGACCTCATAGAGAACAGGTGTGAAGTGGAAGTGTTATACTTCTGCGTTTCGTCTGGTGAGTGAGATAGCCGGGGCCCAATTAATTAAACGGTGGCAATGCATCTTCAATTCTTCGGGTAATTAAAATGTCCATGGGGGGCGATTATCACTTACCATCTGCCAACCGCCAGCTCCCTTGTCACGATTCTGAACACGATCCTGAGCCACCTGTATCTCACTATGTCATGCTATAGATGGTTATACTATTGAACAAATTAATGTAGTATAAGCATTTGTATTGTTCAAATATTTATGTTTACCTCTTTACACTTCGAACGTATTCTGTTGATAAATAAGTATTATAAGTAAAAGTTTGTCACCGCCGCGGGAATTTTTCCCGCTTATTTCGCAATCGCGAATAGACGCTTTACCCATAAAGCAAAAAGGCTGATTGCCACGCCGACGTAAATCTCAACCCCTTTTATCTATATTGTTCTATCGCATTTTAATCAATGCATGGCGGCGAACTTTTCAACATTTTATAAATATATTCAACTTTTTATAAAAAACATTTTATGTTTCATCTTAAGTGCAGATGTTAGCATTATAAAGAATTAATGTAAAATTTGTAAGTATTATAATATTGTGCATACATATACCTACCTACATACTTGAATTCTTTTCAACGCTATACAGCGTGTTGTTACCATCGCGACAATAAATGAACCCACATAAGGGGATAACTTTTTAAAGTTGTATTAAACGTTTAAATTCGTTAAACATCAATATTTACAGAGTTATTAAATTTTCCAAAACAAAAATTTTAGAACATCCTTACCTATAAAAGCGTAACGTAAAGTTCATTTGTAAAGGTCACAAAGCATATGAAGAATGGGTTGAATGAATTTAAAAGAGACAAAACATACTGTTAGAAGGAGAGTATAGGATGTTACAAATTTTGTTTCTTTTTTACTTAATTAATTTTTTTGAACAATATTTTTTTTAAATTATGGATTTTGTTTAACGTTAATATTTTTTTATGATTATTGGCAAGTAGCGTTAGACGTGTCCTCATTTATTGTCGCGATGGTAACGACACGCTGTATACGGTCTAGTCAAATGTAAGTCTCGGAATTCCACGTATGTATGTATGTATATTAGCGGTATGTTTTATAAAGGCGTTTTAATTATTCGTAACCGGAACGAAACTCAAGAGTTTCTTATCTATTTGTCATTCTGCTCCTTCCTTATGCCACCGAACCGTTTTTAAATATATTTGTTAATGTCAAAAAAACATCGATATGTCATTATGATGATTTTATGGTTAGGCACGTGGAACAAGATTTACCATAAAATGTGATTAAACTTAGTAAGGTTTTATTGGTATCAAAATATGATCTCGCTATGGATGAGTACTGTAGAATACTCGACTCAGTAATAGACATAGTTCAGTAACGCGCTCATTATTCATTCGATTAAAGGTTTAACATAAACAATGGTTTCTGTTATTCTTTTTCTTCTTATAAATAATTCTGGGATTTCATTTGAAAGCTTTTTGTTGGTGGAAGATATAGGAACTAGATAGTGAACTCAGTGCTATAAATAGATACACGTCAACTCCGCCTTAATGGTAAAGGATTGCACAAAACCATCGAAAAGTTTGCATGCACGGCTGACACGAAGGTACCACGTTATAGTGGTTCAATCGAACATTACCAATTTTGGTGTCGCCCACGGGTCTTATTCGATCGCGCTGTGTTTGTA